TATGTGGCCATCTGTCAGCCTCTGCTGTACAGGGTGGTCATGTCCCCTAGAGTCTGTTCTCTGCTGATGTTGGGTTCTTACTTGATGGGGTTTGCTGGTGCCATGGTGCACACAGGGTGCATGATCAGGCTCAGCTTTTGTGACTACAACCTCATTAACCATTATATGTGTGACATTGTCCCACTGCTCCAGCTCTCCTGCAGCAGCACATATGCCAATGAACTTGCAAAATCTGTTGTCGTGGGGACAGTTATCATTGTATCTAGCCTCATTATCTTCATCTCCTATGCTTTGATTCTTTACAATATCATTCATATGTCTTCAGCTAAGGGTTGGTCCAAAGCCATGAGCACCTGTGGTTCTCACATAGTAGCTGTTGGCCTGTTCTATGGATCTGGGCTGCTCACTCATGTCAAGCCATCATCTTCTGGGTCTGTGGACCAGGGGAAATATTTCTCACTTATTTACACTTTTGTGGTGCCAGCGCTGAACCCTCTCATTTACAGCCTCAGGAACAAGGATGTCAAAGTTGCTCTGAAGAGAACCCTGAAGAGAGTCACAAACTGAGCAGAACCAGTGAGGATGCCTTAGTTTCTATTCCCTTTGTTGAATTTTGTTGCTTCTTGCTCCTTCTACTTACTTTCCTTCTCTTCTTTCTTCTGTTCATCTTTCTTTAAAGACTGGGTAGTATTTCTGGTGTAACACCTTTCCCTCTCTCACCATACGACATAACCATGTGGGCTTAGTGGCTTTGTGAGTCCCTTCTAAGGAGGCTTCAACCTGATCTTTATTTCCCATATAAAATGAGCCACTGGGCTGATATTTTTCCTATCTAAAGATGAACTCCTGTTTTCATTCTTGTATATCTTCTCTATCCAGGGAAGCCCAAGGAGTTGTGTTTTTTCTGACAAGTTCATTTATTTCTCACTCTTCGGAGACAATTGTACAAAATTTTTCCAGTTTTTGGTGTTTTATTACCTATAACTGCATGAAAACAGAGGTCAAGGCAAAAATTGTGGACAAAGTCAATGTACATTTTTTCACGTTTCTTCAACATGACTTTAGTGATGTGCCTCTTCTGGGAATTTATTCTTATATCTGTGATGATAGTGTGTGCTTTATTAGACTATATTTCTATTCCTATGTATATGTGAGGATGGATGAGACCCACCACTATGCCCACCTTTGTCAAAACTCACCCATAGTGACACAGCATTGGTTGATTGCTAGACTGTAATAAATAGAATTGAAATTGTCACCTATTTGTCCATGTATTTGTGGATTGTGTCTTTGGCTTTGCTTCAAATTTGAACAATGATATTCCTGACTTAGACCTTGTTGTCATGTGTAAGGTCAATGTCCTTTGTCTTCCCAGCTGCATACTGAGTATTCCTTTTTACAAAGGAAAGTGTACTTTTACCTTTAAAAACACAAAACAAAAATGTATGGGATAAATATTACCCAACTGCAATTTATTTTTTCAATTTGATTTATTCTAGTCTGTTAGAAGTCTGTGGCCCGTATTATCTGCTGCATTCTTTTCAAATAACTTTTAAATGTATATATTGTTTTCCTGTTCCCTGTATCAGGAAATGATTCTGTGATTTGCTTATGGCTGTACACCTAATGATCCAGATTCTCTTGTGCATTTAACCATTTTTGGTGTGTGGGAGGGCTTTTGGGCATCCTAGGAAGAAAAAGGAAGGAAGGAAGGAAGGAAGGAAGGGAAGGAAGGAAGGAAGGGAAGGAAGGAAGATTAAGGAACAGAGAGAACTTCTGGAAAGTTGTTTCAGCTTGAGCCTGAAAATTGGGTTTTTATGAGATAATGCCCTGAGTAAGATTCCCATAGCAGGGATGATCTATGAGGCTTTGGTGGCTAAGGGAAACATGCCATGCACCTGCAATATTCTGATTTATAGTGGTGTAAACTGGACAACCTACAAGGAAGCCTTTAATCTCAACCTTTTTCTAAGAGTGAATATTTTTCCGAAGATATGAGGCTGAGTTCATGCCAAGGATCTCTGGTGAGACATGTCATTGTTTCCATAGCAGCATAATCCTATCAGACATTATTCTATTGTTTAGAGTAAATGAAAAAGTTATGTATAGTAAAAAGAATAGAAAATTGTGCTCTTATTAATTTTCTTGTTGTGTGTGTTACAGAGAAATTATTTATTTTCCATGGTGGATGAATCCTTGTCAGGAGACAACAGTTCATTATCCCTGAGATTATTATATTTGTTATTTTTCTATGGTTCTACAATATTGGTTCATAAGAATAACTTTAGAAGATAATGATGCCAACTAAATACTTTAATTCAATCTTTACTGCAATATTTTTGTCACTATTATAATGTTTTGAAATGCTATTCCTCTAGAAGTGGCTCAATGACCAGTGTATAGTTTCATTCGTTCATCTATATTTAGCACAGTGCCTGGTTTCAAAAAAAGAGCTTACCACTGTTTTGAATTTCACTCTAAAAAATATGTATTTTAATAAAGACATAGAATGCTTTCACTAGGACACAGAATGAGCTGTATTACATCCACGTTTATAAAACCCTGCATAATTAACAAAAAGGTGAAAAGTGAGTCTCAGACATAGCACATTATCTGTGGTCTGAGAATGATATTGGAGTCAGTGGTGCAGCCTGGTGGAGAACCAATCAGAGGTAGCCTGGCTCTGTACTGTGATGTCAATGGCTCAAATTTTCAGGTTAAATCTATAGTATTGACCTGGCAAATGCAGTTGATTTATTTTTTCAATAAAGACCAAATTTAGCAAGCTGTGGTGGCACATGCCTTTAATCCCAGCAGCTTGGGAGGCTGAGGCAAGAGGATTGCAAGTTCAAAACCAGCCTCAGCAAAAGCGAGACCCTAAGCAACTGAGACCATCTCTAAATTAAAAAAAAACAAACTACAAAATAGGGCTGAGGATGTGTCACAGTGGTTGAGTGCCCATGAATTCAATCCCTGGTACCCTCCCATACCAAAACAAAAACAAAAATAAAAACAAAAACAACCCCCCCCAAATTTAGCAATATCTATAACTAAATTACTTAAATTCAAGGTAAGTTTTATGAATTAATATAATATGTAAAATTAACATAGACTAATTTTAGAACATGTATGTTTATTTGATAATTATTAAATATTTAGATGTTTTGTATGTGTAGTCGATTAAACATATTTATATTGCCATGTACTACTTTCTTCTCCTACTGTTTTTTCATATTGGCAATTTCAAATGTAAAATCTTCGTTCTACTGATATTGAACGCCATATTAACACAGGTTAAAGACATGCGAATATTGGCTTATTAATGAAAGGTTTTTAGGTACTTCTACACAGTTCTCAATCTTTGTCCCTCATGAATAAAGTCCAGAACAGAGCTATTTAACTATATAGCATGGCCGACAGAATGGCAAGTGGGGCATAGGAAAGCATCGTGTGTGCCCAGAATTGTCAACTTGGACCTGGTACATTTGGGGTTTCTCTTTGAGTGTCCTGAGAGGTCAAGAGTAAGGAGATCTGATATGACAGTGTACCATGTGTTTGGCAGGAGTAAGAGAATGAGATGAAGTGAATTCCCTGCTCCATTATAATAGCCGAAAGAGGTGCCCCGCCACCTGGATGTCAGGTATAGCAGTCACAGGAGAAGGAACGGAGCCACTGTGGGCAAAAGAACTCTGGACTGTTGGTGGAGATTATGTTTCATGTGCCCAAGGAGTACAGGTCTTTGACACCCACCTGTAATCCTAGGCACTTGGGAGGTAGAGGCAGGAGGATTGTAAATTCAAGGCCAGCTTCAGCCATTTTCCAAAACCCCTGTTTCAAAATACAAGAGTTGAATGTGCTGGGGATATAGTTGAATGGTAGAACATTCCTGGATTCAATCACCAGTACCCCAGTAATAAGAAGTAGGTAAGTAATTAAATAAATAGTAAACAATAAAATAAAATTAATGTTAATTACCTTCAGTAAAAATAAATAAAGACTATATAATTTTCTGTAAACTAACCTAGAGTTAAAAATGAGCTTATATAGTCTTTCTTATAGAATGACTCAAATAATTCCATGTATGGCTTTGTATTTTCTGTAAAACCTGCTTGAATTTTAGTATTCTAATCAAAGAGGTGCTTCATTGCCTTTAAAAAATGTCCCTCAAAGCCTTGCCGTGGATCTTGTGCCATGCCTGATGTTAAAAGTCTAGCAATGCTTAAATTCTATAGGAACTTAAAACAACTTTAAAAATTCATTAATAAATGAAACCCAATGGACAATGATTGATGAGTTCTTAGCAAAATTTACAAAGAATGGACTTAAATAATAAAGATTTCATGTTTTATAAAGATGAGTTCCTATGTTTTCTGCTGATTTTTCTTTTCTTTCTTTCTTTTTTATTGCTTAAAACAAAATTAAGTCCTAGAAGAAATCAGGTTTATTCAAGCTTTTATTTGTTAAAAAGACTATTTTGTTTTTCAATTCTGATTACATGAACTACCGGTTTTACAATGAAGTGTTATGTGTTATTGATACAAAACCTATAAAACTTACAAAATCTGATAGTCTGGATATAATGCTGTAAATCATGATTGTTATCTTAATAACTAAATTTTGCTTGTTAAGTCACAAAGTTATGAAAGTATCAATCAACCTTATATATGGTTTGTAGCCATTTTAAGTAGTGTGAACAAGGTTAAAGGCAAATTTGCTTTATTCAACCTCTATTTCAAGAAAAATTTAAGGTTTAGAGATGTTGATATAGGATATGTATAAGATTGTCAATTTTAGAAGGTTTTTATTTTTATTTTGGCGCAAACTGCTTATTAATATAATAATATATAATATATCACATATAATAGTAATATAATAATTTATCTTGTTTACAAAGTACATTTAATTATGTATGGATGTTCATAACTGGAAGGATGACATTAATTCTTGTATACTATGTTCCAAGTTTTTACACTCTAAAGATGTTAGGACATATGGGTTAAACAGTCTACCCACATGGGGATTAACCATGATTTACATAAGCAGGACACCAGCTGTTAGACCCTCTTTAGGCAGATCTGACAGGACTGCTTTTTACAAAGCTGGGCTTGTTGGTTGGATAAAGAAGATAGAACTAAAGAGACTGTGCTTAGTAGTTCACATGTATTATGCAGACTGGATGGCTTTGCTTTCATTAATGTTTTTTAGTTTTCCGGCCTAAGAGATGATTTTTCAAAAAACTTCCATTGCTTAATATTGTCTAAAAAGGGGTCTTGAGGTATTAATCCATAAACTGACAGTTTCCCTCTTACATGGGACCACTCAGGTCAAAGAACAGGACAAAGGTCCCACATCATGAGACAAGAGATGCTTGTCAAATAATCAGCGATGTACTTAATGAAATCATTCAGAGATCATGACATCATTTGTTGAACTCCAGTAAAAATAAAAATTTTCTCTAGTTTATAAATCTCTGCATTTTTTTCATGTATTTTAACTTTTTGCTGTTTCTTCTTTGCAATATCCACATAACCATTTTTCTTTTAAATAACCTGTGTTGGAAATACATA